ACAGACCTGTCTCTCCCGGGTCACAGACCTGTCTCTCCCAGGTCACAGACCTGTCTCTCCCGGGTCACAGACCTGTCTCTCCCAGGTCACAGACCTGTCTCTCCTGGGTCATAGACCTGTCTCTCCCAGGTCATTGACTGGTCTTCTCAGATTACCGGTTTGTTATTTGAAACTAAAGGTAAAATTTAGCCCAGTAAACTAGCCCCACCCGCCAGTGGCCAAAATAATTTTTGCCTGTAGTGGTCTAGGCTCGATCAATGCCCCAGGCCCTAGAACTGGCGGGCCAATCACAACGCAGAGATGTGTTTTGAATGTCTGGATGCAAAGTGGGCGGGGTTTGAGGGCGTGACGACAAAGCTGTACGACGCTGGAGAAAACACAACGAGGAAGATGGCAGCAACTATTGAACAGTTCTGGTTTGACTCAGCTTTGGAATCAGTTCTGGAAGGATCAGACTTTGGGTTTCCGTTGAAACGTGAGCAGGAAGAGGCGCTACGCTCATTTATTTTTAAGGACGTATTCGCCGTTTTACCGACAGGCTGTTTATTTACACTCCTCCACCAGCTTCCTGTCACGCTTCCTACGTCACAGTCAGCTCCTCATTGGTCAGAGCGTTGGTCAATAGGCACAGACATGGTTTGAAAGACAACGGGTTGTTCTCATCAACAATCTTTCGATGTCTCATTCATCGGGGTTAGACTAAATTACACCTTTAATCTCCCATTTAGTCTGGTCTATGAGGCTAGGTAAAATGCATCATGTAAAGTGGGAGTCGGTTTCAGTCAGCCTCAGACATTAACTAGCAGTTGACAGTACAATGAGCTTTAACTCCAGTGATATGGATCATTAGTTCATTAGAGAAACGTGTTTTCTGTGATGTTGTGATTCAGGAAATAATCCTGCATCTGTTTTTCTCAGTTGGCAGGAGAAGCCCAGGAGCTGTTCTCTGTGCGTCACGGACCTGTCCGAGCTGCTCGCATTCTTCCTGCTCCTCATATCAGTGAGTACCACACCAGTCAGAGAGCAGAAAGTCGTCTTACGATGTTGGTCTTTGTGTAACGACATTAAATTCTCCTAAAGACGTGTTAGTGAAAGGCAGCAGGGTTGCATCTACATGGTTCTGGCTCTATGCTGAACTCCCGTAGCGCTGCAGCCTGTTTTAGAAGCTGAAAATGGTGGATCCTTCGTAAAGTTGTTCTCAACTTTGCCAAATATGCACACATTAGGGCAAAATGTCTGCCCAGTCTGAACTACATGGACTTGGACTGCTTACAGTTTTCTTAATGTTTTGATGGAACAAAGGGGCGAGCAGTGAAACGGCCACAGTGGGTGGATGAGCTCCCCCTGCAGGACAGACCCCTTCAGCGTCACTGCAGACCACTGTTCTTAATCCCAGAGTCATCATCTGCATATTTGCTTCAAAGACACAAGAACCACATTTCCTCTCTGCAGGTGTCAGACAGTGATGTGAAGGCTGGTTTGTGGTCTTTCAGTTTTGTCAGAATAACAGCTTTTTGTTCTCAATCCGTGTTCCGGTCTTTTGGCAAATTTCAACGGCACACAATGGCAGCAGTTGAAGAGCGCTGGAAGTGGATGAAAGCAGAGGCTGGTAATAAGAAGCAGCAGATAGCTGCACACATGAGGGGAGTAATTCTCTCAGCAGAAAATAAATATGAACGGGGAAGGATACTGATTGCAATCTGTAGAGTGCAAACAGTGTTGCTCTGTGGTGGGCCGTTAAAAGGCTTATTGTCCATCTCCAGACTCTGAGTGTGGGTGGAATTAAAGAGCTCCAAAATAGGTGTTGATTATAAGAAGCACGGTCTCCTTTCCAAGCAGATAACGGGAAGTCCATGTTTCCAGATAGAAAACTCTCTTCTAATTCATCCTGATTGGTCAGACTGGGGGGGGATGACCATCCAGAAAATAATTAACATTTATTTGAGTGAAAGTTCTCATCCTTTGTCCTTTTTCTGCTGCCTCTTTTGTTCTCAGCAGAAGAAACTTCACTTTCCAAGTCAGAGTCTCCCTGTTCCTCAGATGTTTCATTTTTACCAAGGAGGCTTATTTTAGTAACTATGTCATTTCGCTAAGTCCCAGAGAAGCAATATTTATGTTAGAGCTCAGGATGACGGCTGAGAAAGATGCCTGATGACAAACATGAAAGGAGAAAGGACCCTTCTGGGAGCGCTAGGGGCCGGTTGGGCAGCCACTCCTGCTCCAGCGCCATACCGCAGGAACTCAGGCTGATTACTGCTGGGCCTCAAATTACAGCCTTCTGAAAGGGGACATCCTCACCAATCTGAGCGCCCCAATCCCATCATCTCCTGCTGGACTTCAATGTGGGACAATTAAGACAAACATGGGATCACTCCGTGTTTTCCCTGCCTTTCTCAAAGAGACCTTCTCTGGTTTAACGTGCTGTAATTCAAACCCCCAAATAAACAGGGTCGGGGTCTTTCTGTCCACATTTCCATCATTTTAGCTCATTTTTCATGAGAACAAAGGCAAAGTTTCAGCAGATCTCTAATCTGGTTTTTAGACTATTAGCTTGTTAGACTTGCCTGTTGATCAGGAACACCCAGGGTCTGAAATATGGCTGATTGTCTGCTCCTCTAAAGCACGGACTCGTCTTCCTCCTCAGGTCCTCTGAAAACCGATAGCTTTGCTGAGAAGAGGCCGTTGCTGGGGGTCTGCAAGAGCGCAGGGTCTTCAGGGTGAGTTCATCCGCCTCACTCCTCTCTGTGTGTCATAGCCTTTAATAAAAGCAACATGTCTGAGTTTATAGTTTTATCCACCTGCACCACCCTGATGCTGAAGCAACACATACTGGATAGATGCTGACAGCTGTTTGTTATGAATCTACAGCTGATGGGGTGTACTTACTTTTTCACAGCTTTTACATTTTGCTTCCATCTTTGTTCTTTAATGCGGACCTAGTGGGACACATGGATCTAATAGCTAGTGATGTTTTCCTGCTGATTTCATTCCAGCTAAAGTCTGATGAACAGACTGTGGCTGGAAGCAGCTGAAGCAGGGGAACCAGGGAACTGGTGAAGCTCCGCCATTAAAAACACCGATTGAAACGTTAAAACCCCAAAACTTAAGAAGGATGCTCCTTCTTTAAACCTCAGCTGAACATTGCAGTCATGCAGTTTGGGCGGAGGTTCCTGCTCTGTTCTGGTTCTTAGCCAGAGGGATGTTTGTTCCTGTCCGGGTCCAGCAGGTTCTGCTGGGCTCTGACTGCCTGTCATCAGAATCACTGACTCCCATCAGCTTCCTTCCTGCTGGGAATGTTGGTTCAACTGGGATGCAAGGTTCCTCTGAGCGTCCTCACCTGGACCATTCCACCCATCTGTTGAACCAAATCCTGAAACACTCGCTGAAAATGCTAACTCTAACATGCCACCTGACTGGACCCAGTTTGACCTGACTGGACCCAGTTTGACCTGACTGGACCCAGTTTGACCTGACTGGACCCGGTTTGACCTGACTGGACCTGGTTTGACCTGACTGGACGCGGTTTGACCCGATTGGACCCGGTTTGACCAGATTGGACCCGGTTTGACCCAGTTGAACCCGGTTTGACCAGATTGGACCCAGACCATCTGAGCTCATTGGTAGTTCTAACCCACAGGATGGAGACTGGAAGAGCAGAGGTTTTTCCGTTGGGATGGACTGATGGTCCACGGATGGCAGATGCTGGCATACAGGACATTTGGCTCAACATCAACATTTCTCTATGACCTCGCAGTATGTCGATGTGTTTCAGCGTTCCTCAGCGTGCTCATAACTTCTCCAACGTATGCCAGCATTTTCCCCATTTTTTTTTTTTCATAAGTCAGGAATAAGCTGGTCTAAATCATCAAGGTGTGACAGGAGCTGTAATCTGGAGTGGAAACACTAATTAGAAAGAAAATCTTCCTTGATATTCCCCCCCCCCCATACTTTTATTTACCCATATACTTAAATCCTGCGTTATTTCTATATAAATATTTTCCCTCATTCTTAGACAGGTTATTTATATGTTTATTGTATTTAACTAAAGAGCAGAGTCTGCCCTGATGACGCCGTAGATTTAGTAATTGAGGATGAATTTAGCTTTTCAGTCGGATAATAATTTATTGCTTTAGTGAAAAACTACCAACTAAAGAAGGTGGAGGTAGAGAGCGGGATTCCAATGGTTAGAACCGGACCAGTACAGGGAACCGGACCGGACCAGACAGGGCATCCTGTTGGTAAATGAATTAGAGGGTGGGGCTCCTTTGACTGACTCTCCCAGAGCAGCCCCACATTGGGCTTAATCCATCCTCCCCAGGAAATGAAATAAGGAAGTCTGTCTTCAGACCACCTTCTTGATATTTTCCAGGACCTGCTGCCTGTCTTTTTGACGCCGTGGCCATTGCTTCTGCTTTTCCTATGTCCTCACTGACATGGAGACATGTAACACTTGGACGGGTTGGCGAATCACCCCGGCGGCGCTTGCCACTAATGCTGAAAACATGCACCATGTTGAAAACCCTGACCCTTGGCTGGATTACACAGCCTGCTTCTTCCTCCTGGTGAAGCGCTTGGTAAATAACACCCTGGTAAGGAAAAAGGCTTCCGGGTGCGGCGCAGTACTTTCCATACGGCCCCTTCATAAAATCACTATAGTCCTCACACTATTTATTTCTGTATAATCATTTGGAAATAACAGCTTTTGTGAACCACCAAAAAGGATGCCGTCCTGACACGTAAATGGAAAACAGATTGGAGCCTTGGCCGCTGGAGCTGTGCTGGTTTAGAAGTTGGTTCACTCAGCTCTAGGCTTAGATTACAAGATTTGCAAATTAAAGGAGAAGCAGAGAGGGAAAAGCCTGTGCTGAATATCTGTACATGTGGGTTTGCAGTGAGGCGCATTCAGCATCACTGTATTAAAGGGACGGGTCCAAACAATGGAAAGTTGCCGTGATTTTCCTGACAGTGAAGCTGTGAGTTTGAGGCGTCGCTGCATCAGAGCAGCAGCTCTGTGGGGTTCAGAAAACAAAGGCGGCTCAGTTTATTGGTCATGGCTGCTCCCGTTCCTGGACACGATGACCCGCTGCAGGTACCAGATCGGCTTCATGGCCGTGACGTTAGGCTACATGATCGGCTGAACGTTTCCACATGATGTAAAACGCTGTGCTTGTCCCCAGACAGCGATAATAACGTCACGCAGCGTCCGTGTGCCGAGTCGGGAGCATCTGTAGCGTTGGCGTGTCTAATGACCAATGAAGTTTTACCTCATCGGTAACAGAACTGAGGAGAGTAACTGTTAGACCATGATATAAAGATCTGGGTAGCACTGTGGCTAGCTAACAGGTTAGCCTCTTTTAGCTCGGTCAGTTAGCCATGTTAAGCTACACTATTTTAAACTTCCTGTCATCCATAACCGTTCACTTTCTACAAGGAGAATAACTGTTTTGTCTAAAATCTCTAAGAAAGTTGCTTCCAGACTGTCAGTGATTGTTTTCTGCTTTCGGCTGCTTTAGATCGCCAACGAAACGTTAAAGCAAATATAGGAAATAATATGTTGAGAGATCTGATTCTTTAGAAACAGGTGACTTCATAAGAAGGGGCGGAGCCTCTGGTACCTACAGCGTTACTGGTTCACCATCAGGTCTACGTTTAGCTTTATTTTACCTTTATTGATGGATTGGTCTCTGACGTTTGCTAACTCCTCTCCTGGATCACAAGCAGAAGTCTAAAGCTCGCTTTAGGAGATAAACAGCAATCTCTCCGCTGAATGGAAACCATATTGTTTTCTTTCCAATACTTGCTTATAAATGGCATACCTGGGAGTTTGGGTCAAAGGTTAAAGCAAGTAACTGGTGACAACAGCAGAGTTCCTGTTGGGAGGGGCCGTTCATGTCTCACCTCGCTGCTGGGAGCGAATGTGTTCACCAGCAGGTGAGCTCACCTGAACTCTAAACCAAGACACACCTGTACTTGTGAATGCAGCACTGACGGTCAGTATTGGCTCCATTGCAGCTTACATCTTAGAGCGGTTTTTGATAATATTCCTCATGTTCTTCCAGTGTCGCCATGCAGAAACAACAGAGACAGGAACGGTTCCTGCTGCTAGAAAGACTCTGGATCCCAATTTTGATGTTTGAGGCACTAATCCCTGAGTTTCAGCTCATCTTCAGGACCGGGTGAATAATCAGTGAAATCATTGAGGCAGCAGATGAAGGGGATTGAAGATTGAAGGCTCTCCACCACAACTTTCCCTCTGCCTGGCAGTGACTCTATTCTCCCATTAATCAGATTTTATTTGGTTTCTGCTGGGATGATGTTTGATTTTGGTGATGGTGTTCAGAAAGGATGGTGACCCTGTTGACAAAAGGCTTCAGTTGGATGTTTTCTACTGAAAATACATCATACCTGCTGTCATCTGTCGGCATGGAAACCGTTCGGTACGCCAGTAACCCCCACCCCCCTGCATATGCAGAAACACACACACTTGTTGAGTGCACACAGGCAGGATTGTGGGGCTCCAGTTTCACTCTGGAGCGTTTATTTTGACTTGCATGTCTGTTTTATGTCTGTAGAAAACGTGTTCTGCCTCACCAGTTTCCCCCTTCAAATAGGAAGTCCGATTAAAGTCGGTAGTGCTGGAAGTGGTGCGGATAAACACAGCCGACAGGCTGAATGATTGGTAACGACTTCTCAAACCGTCATCCCAAACCTCATGCCCTAAAGCCAGCCCCCTGTGGTCCAATGAGTTAATAGTTTATTGTGCTAATGTTTTAGATTTAAAGTAGGGACCTGATTTCTCCCTGAAAATGTCTGGAACCGTCACCATGCGCTGCATGCAGCTTCCCCCTTTTACCCTCATTCATCAAATAAACCTTGAATTGCACCATTTGACGGTCTATGGCTTGAAACCACCTTCACTTTTTCTTCATGAGCAGGAAAAAGGAAATTACATCATATTTATAACATCATAACAGCAGAAAAACAGTCAGGGAATAATCTGCCTGATTCCTAGTTGTATTTGGCGGCTGCTTATGGAGTTTAGATTCGTAGCCGAACAACAGCATGAAGATCACTTCTGAACTTCGCCGCCCAGATCCCGACTGAACTTCGCCGCCCAGATCCCGACTGAACGTCGCCGTCCAGATCCCGACTGAACGTCGCCGTCCAGATCCCGACTGAATGTCGCCGTCCAGATCACTTCTGAAAGTCGCCGTCAAGATTACTTCTGAACGTCGCCGTCCAGATCACTTCTGAACGTCGCCGTCCAGATAACGACTGATTGTCGCCGTCCAGATAACGACTGAACGTCGCCGTCCAGATCCCATCTGAACGTCGCCGTCCAGATCCCGACTGAGCGTCCCTGTCCAGATCCCGACTGAACGTCGCCGTCCAGATCCCGACTGAGCGTCGCCGTCCAGATCCCGACTGAGCGTCGCCGTCCAGATCACTTCTGAAAGTCGCCATCCAGATCACTTCTGTACGTCGTCATCCAGATTTCGACTGAACGTCGCCGTCCAGATCACTTCTGAAAGTCGCCATCCAGATCACTTCTGTACGTCGTCATCCAGATTTCGACTGAACGTCGCCGTAGAGATCACTTCTGAAAGTCGCCATCCAGATCACTT